CCAAATGAATCCTGCAACACAACACATTCCCACCAGTAGTGTCTTGTAAGTGCTTTCACAACAAGTTGATCTGACTGCTTTGTTTATCTGAACAACAACTATTATTCTTATTGTTTTGCTTTACCATAGTACATAACGGTTTATTCTTGGAATAATATGTACAGAAAGTAAGAAGCATGTGAATTTGGAATAAATAAAACAACTTTCACTACAGATATGAAATGCCACTCAGTTTCAATAGTTTTCTCTGTCCCCACCTTTTTAAACAACATTTGAAGTCATATAGCTATTACATCCAGCTGGCGGTCTTTTTTCAATTGAAATGTACTCTTACTGGAAAGATTATATAAAAATAGAGTGGGGCGAGAAAGAGACAAATAAGGATAAGAAGTATGTATATGTACACATATGTAATATATGCATATATATGTGTATACGTACACATATATTATTGTATACTTTAGTCAGAACAACCCCATATATCACTACAGGATAGGGACAGAGTGACTGGAAAGCCATCTCGCAGAAAAGGACCTGGAAGTTCTGGTCAGCAGCCATCTGAATATGAGCCAGGAGTGGGCCCAGGTGGCCAAGAAGGCAAATGACATCCTGAACTGTATCAGCAATAGTGTGGTCAGCAGGACCCAGGGCAGTGATTGTTTCCCTGTACTCAGCATTGGTGAGGCTGAGCCTTGAGTACTGTGTCCAGTTTTGAGCCACTCACTTCAAGAAAGACATTGAGATGCTAGCACAAGTCATGAAAAGGGACAATGAAACTGATGAAGGGTCTATGAATAAATCATATAACAAGTAGCTGATGGAGGTAGGTTTTTCAGCCTGGAAAAAAGAAGGGTCAGGGAAGACTTTACTGATCTCTACTACTACCTGAAAGTAGGCTGTAGCAAGGGGGGAGTCACCTATTTCTCTCAGGCAACTAGTGACAGGACAAGAGGAAATAGCCTCAGGTTGTGCCAGGGGAGGTGCCAGTTGGACATGAGGAAGAATTCCTTCACTGAAACAGTGGTTAAGCATTGGAATAGGCTGCCCAGGGAAGCAGCAGAGTTACTACCTCTGGTAGATGTTCAAGAAATGACTGGATGTGGCACTTACTGCCATTGGTCTATTTGACAGGGTGGTGATTGGCCAAAGGTTGGACTCAATCTTGGAGGTCTTTTTCTACCTTGACTTTATGATTATGTGTATAACTTATGATTATGTATATATCTCTGTCTGTGTGAGAGTGTGTGTGTGTGTGTGCGCGCATGTGTATGTAAGTGTAACAGCCACACTACTCCCCCACACTGAAATCCAAAGAGGTTTCATGCCATAACTGTATTTCCCTATGCACCTCAGGGTGGAAACTGTAGTGTTGGGGGTTTTTTGTGGTTTTTTTTTTAAATCAGTTTTATTTCATTGCAGAGCTACTACTCCAAAACATGGCCACCAGGAAAGGGGGTTGGTGCGATGACTGCTCAGGAAACAGTTAAATACTGACAAATTAAAGGGAGAGAAAACGGTTTGGGGCTTGTAACAATACAGAGCAACCACTGGGAAAGATTAGATGCAGAGTTTAGAAGTATTTATTTTTTTCTTTCACTGGAACATGATGGGCTTTATGTTTTGGTCCATTTAAAAAGACTTAATGTTTGAAGCCTGAAGTAAGAGAAAGCCTCTCCTTCCAAAAAGGGGAAAACTTTTTTGATTTTACTACATAGATGAATTTTAAGTTAGCTTTAGGCTTGGTTAGCTTCAAATATCTTCTGAATGCTGAAACAATAGGTGAGGCAATGGCAACTACTCTGTGTAGGGGAATACCAGTGTTCTTTCAAAGACACTTATGCAGTCTTAAGTTTTTCTCCTAAAATCTAAAAAAAAAAAAAAAAAAAAAAAAAAAAAAGTCTTCAAATTCTTATTTTAAGACAAAAGGCAAAAATGCACTGTGTAGCACAGACTGAAGAGCAGGAACCCTCTGGCTAGGCAAAAAGCCAAACATATGTGGGTGTTAGTCTCCTTGTCCTCCTCTCCACAATCCTCTCAAAAATCCACAAAGAAGAGGTTCTTATTACAGAAGAGACACCCAGAGATCAATTCTCTGACCTAGGAATCCAGAAAGGAATGCTAGAAACCTTATTTTAGACAAGTCAGAGCTTGGATACCACAGGGACAAGCTCAGCTCAGAGACATGCTTAATGTCAAATAAATAAGTTTTGATAAATGTCCATTTCCTGTGTTAAACATACCACAGAGAAATAAAACAATGTTGCTGCAGTAAATATAAATTAATACAAAATCTTTGTTTTGAAGATCACTTTCACAGCTGGCTCCATGGATCACTCAGTTGCCCAAACGTCCAGCTTGGTGATCACTTATACATTCCCTCTTTGACAACATTTTGTTTTTTGAGTGCCCTTAATCTAAAATGATATGGATTATTCACTTCACAACTCAAGCCAGTTCAAATGTAGGAATTTCAATCCAAAACATTGTAAAGCACTACTATCATTAATAGAATATTTATTGTGTTACAATATATCCCACTTCAGTTTTGCCTTTGCATGGTGTATATACCTGGTCTAGATGTGCATAAATACACTATGCCTGAAGGAGACTTTGTCCTGACATGTTGCTGCAGTCCTGACACCTGAGGGAAGCATGTTTGGTACAGCACTCAACAAAATAAACCAGCCATCACTGCCTTTCCCTCCTGAATTGTTGTCAGTGCTTGTGAAACCACAGGCCTGTTTAGCCTTGTGGGTAGCTGGCCTAAAGAAAAGCAACCTCGTGCCCTGCTCCACTTTCCACAAGCGTCAGGAGGCCACCAAAGGGGTATAGGCCAATCTCTGCATAAAAAAGCAAAATGTATTGCTGTGGGCAACAGTATGAGAGCCTCTCCTGCTCCTCCTTGCAAATGGACAACCACAGGTGAGGCACAAGTGTGGAGAGGGAGCTGCACTGCAGAAAATCTGGCAAGTATGAGAGCATGTCCCCACAGATGCCTGCACAAAGTTATCCAGAGTAGATGAACAAGATAGAAAAAGCCACAACTTAGGCTGTCCAACAAAATAGGCAAAAATGGGGCAATCCTTGCCAGTCTGCCTTATGCATGGCATCTTGTGGAAGTCAGGGAAAAGCTGCTCAGCGTCTCTGAACCTGTATGCACTTAAACCAGAGAAAGCCCAACATCTACATGAAATATGAAAATAAATAGAGAAGCAAAGCCACTCAAAAACTGATCAAGCTCATATTAAAAAGCTTTTTATGTATGTATAGACATGGCTGTGACCTTGCACATGAATAAGTAAGCTTTTATTTGAAGTGAAACAATCAAACATTTAACATCACTTCCATTGACAAGAACCCCCTAAACTGTGCAATTTTAGATCTACAAATAATGAAATATTACCATCCTCATCTTAGTATGATGCACAGTAAACTTATTCTGTTTAAAAGCAGAATTTTGTGCTGGAATGTCCCTGAGATCTCACTCCTGCTAATTCTATTCATTCTAGCAGTGTGTAATGTGAAATATTTACATGTATTCTAGTATTCTTATGCAGCTTTAAGGAACTGTTTACTCCATTTGCAAAACATCAGCATGTTTGAGGGTTTGTCCATTGTGTAGTGTCACTTGTGATGTAGTTGTGCACACAGCAAAAGCGTACCTTCCACCTAGAGCTGAGACATGGGCGCTGCCAGCACACTCTGCACTGCTGCCAGTGTTCAGTTCTGTTACAATGAGTTTGCTCCAGCTCCTGCTCTTTTTTGTGTAACAAGCTGCCTTCCAGCACCACGTTTTAGCTCTAATTAATTTCTTAATAAAAATATAATTTATTTTATAATCTAGTCCTGAAACTTGGCTAAATTCTCCTTCTTACCAGCAGTTCTAAGATATCCAAATTGCTATCTAATTAAAATCTGTTCTTTCATTACACATTTAAAAACTAAATTCTAATATAAAGTTGGGATTTTTTTTTTTTTTTTTTTTACTTCTTCACACACAAAATTTAGGAATGACTGTAGGATCTACTGGGACAATTTTGTCTACAAAATAGTCACAATCAGAGAATTAAGATTCCTCTGTAGGACTGCAACTTTCCTGTGGGAAATAGTAAAGGTAAGAAGATTTTCAGAAAGCTTGAAATGTAGGCCTTAGAAACAAAGAGCAGAGAAAATTAGAACTAGCTGGTATAGGTATAGTACAATTGGTATTACATTGCAAAATTCAGATGATTTTCAAAATAGATTGTTAAATTTTTCAGGTATTTTTTCTATTCATTATCCAACCCACGAATTGTTGCAAGCAAAATTGAGTTTTAGAGAAAAACCCATGCTAAATGAATAACCTTTAAGTACTATAACTCTCCTCACTGATGTGTCAAAGAAGATACATAAATCAGTCATAGTTAAATCAAACAACTAAAACATGAGAGTCAGACATTCAAACAGTAGAAGGGTCACCTCAGATTGTTGAACTAGCAGAAGTTAAGGCTTTTCAGCTCCTTCCTGAACCTTTTAATTTGATTACAAATTCTGCTTATGTTATTAATGTAATTAAAAGAATAGAAGGATCAGTTTTAAAGGATGTTAGTAATGATACCCTATATCGTTGTCTTTCATGTCTTTATACAATTTTACAACAAAGAACGCACAATATTTTGTTTCTCACATTAGAGTTCATTCCTCGCTTCCAAGATTTATAGCAGGAAGAAATGCAAGAGCAGATAAACTGATAATGGTTGTTTCAAACACTTTACCAAATATTTTTAAACAAGCAAAACTAAATCATGCATTTTTCCACCAAAATGCACAAGAACTTGTGAGGACATTTCACATTTCCGAAAGTCGAGCTAAAGCTATCATTAGTACTTACCCTGATTGTCAGCTTGTGCAACCCTGTTTCTACAGGAGCTGTCAACCCACTGGGTTTACAAAGCCTACAATAATGGCAAACAGGCATCACTAAGTATCCTTCCTTTAAGAAATTTAAAAACATTCATGTGTCAGGATGGATGACACATGGTGCAAAACATCAGGTGCAGTCTTAGCTTCTGTCCACACAAGAGAAACAAGTAATCATGCCTGTCAACATTATTTATAAACATTTACTTCACCAAGCGTGCCCCAAGAAGTAAAAACAGACTAGTGCCCCACATTTATATCCCAAAAAGGGATCACATTTTTAACAGATTAAAGTGTTCATCACACCTTTAGGATTTCTCACTCCCCCACAGGTCAAACAATTATCGAAAAGATGAATCACATGATAAAATGCATTCTAGATCAACAGAAGGGGGCAGTAGATGTGACGCCATAGACAAGATTGAGCAAAGTTTTATATGTTTTTAACTTTTTGAACAGCTCTTCTACAGAACCTGATCCACCAATTTTTAGGTATTTTTCAAATCACACAGGTGAAACTGACAGAAAATCCCCTTGTTTTAATTAGAAGCCCTGAGACAGGACAAATTGAAGGTCCTTTCCGACTAATAACTTGGGGTAAAGAGTATGTTTGCATCTCTACAGGTGCAGGAATCTTAGTGGGTTCCGGCAAAGATCAAAGCATATCGCACTCAAGAAAGCACTGATGAGTCCAAGAATGGAGAAACAAGTATGCAGATGTCAGCCAAACAGAGAGACTATGAGTCACACCTGACATACCAGTGGAACCTGCAAACCTTGATTTAATGTCAATGATAAGCGTGTGAATTGCTGGTTGCATAGAGCTCTTTTGGCAAAAGTGTAGTTTCTATTGTGTTATGTTATAGAATAAGAGAAAATTAATCCCCTCATTGGACTTTTAAAGATGAAATTACCCCATTTTTACCACAGTCGATTAGTCCCCAGGCAACTTTGGGAAGGAACGAAAGCAGAATTTGTGAGTTGAAATATATGGGGAAATCTTTTGCCAAAAATAGCTCACTAAAGATTTTTAGTGAGATAGAGTGTTATGCGGGTGCTGGCTAGTTTTGCATGCTTCTTGCAGTGCAGATTTGCCTGTGAAACAGCCAAAAACAAATGTCTGGGTGACTTTAGACAAGGCAGGCTCAGACACCATGTATGTCCAATTCAAATCCAGAAAAGCCTTTTTCAACCTGTCTAGTCAGTGTGGCAGTAAAAGATTGGCTGATACCTATATATTATGATTCCTTGACCAAAAAGCAGCTTAATAATAAATCAGATGAGGTTGCCAACGGGAGCAATCCTGTGGCTGATTGGGACATTTGGACCAAAAAAATTCCTCAAGCACTTTCTGAGCCCCAAGAATTGGAGATTCTTAGTTCCTTAACAATAGATTTCTGTCTTACATTTTCAGATAGCCATTAGTCAGAGAATGATCCTCCAAAATACAATGTCACTCCCAATTACCCTGCTTAGAGAAACTTGAGTTTTTAGTGTAATTACTCAGATAGCTTGGGTGGACTTTCTGGGGTTGATCAACATCCACGACAATTACAAAAGGATATACTTTTGTAGAGATAGAGCTTGGCAAGGCATTCCATCACACCTTGAAGGTCTTCCATGCAGTATTAGACAACTTACTGTGCTAGCATCTAGTGCTAATAGAGTCCTTAAGAAAAAATGTAGAGGAAAAAAATTTGCCCATCAATATGAAGAAAATTGTAACAGTGATTTTAGACCTGGAAAGCTGTGAAAAGAGTTTCAGCAGGTTTTCTTCTACCCTAACTTGCTTCTGCCATGACACTGTAACAGTTAGATCAAGTTGGATGTTGGCTGAGTAAACAAACCAGTGCCACATCCATTGCAATCAGTGATATGCTGACAGATGTCAGCAGTGTTAGACATGGTACCCTCCCAAATAGAGCAACAATTTATTTTCTTTTACTGGCACATAGACATGGTTGTGAAGATTTTGAAGGATTGTGTTGTATGAATTTGTCTGACCATTCTAAATCTATCCACAAAAGCATACAAAAGCTGAAAGCTATAACAACTTAAATCAAAGAACACTGTAGATCATGGTTAGACAATTTGTTCAAAGGATGGAGTTTTGCACCTTGGTTACGGGAACTTCATAAAATAGGTTTGTATGTGTTGGTTGTTTAAGTGATGAAACTAGTAGCAGTATGTTGTATACTTCGGTGTGTACGACAAATGACAGGCAAAACTGTCAAAGAAGTTTTTATCACACAAGATATAGATGTAAGAAATAGAATCACAGAAAGTTCTCAAGATCTTACAGATATAGTGGATGTAAGTATAGGCACAGATGAAAGCTTTGAATTAAGACCTTAGAATAGATGAGACTTATTAGAACACTAAATAGTAACCATTAGCAGATTAGACTTATATTCTTTGAACACACCAAATACTTTACAACATTAAAATTACTGTAGTATAAAATAGCAACACTTCAAGCAAACAAGAGAGGTAACTCAAACAAGCAAAAAGACATATGTATTGCAGTAGAGTTATGTAATGCAAGGTAGTCAATAAGCAACAAAGTTAAGAAGGTTTCTTTTTGGTTGTACTGTAGGGGGGGAAACATGGGAAATAGTAAAGGTAAGAAGATTTTCAGAAAGCTTGAAATGTAGGCCTTAGAAACAGAAAGAGCAGAGAAAATGAGAACTAGCTGCAGCTACAAAGTCTGAAAGTAGAAGAAGTTACAATAGTATAGCAAGCAAGGAATTAAACAATAGCTTGAGTTTTAGGCTTGCTAAGATGGACCGTAAGACTGCAGGAAAATATGCTAGCAAGATAGAAGGTTTTAAGCTTAATAGTGCTGTATTGTGTGTTGTTAATAGAAAGGAGACAAGCAAGCATTCCATTAAACAGGTGTACATGTACTTGTAGTAATTGGCTAGAACAATTGTCTATAAGCTTTAGCAATATGCTATTGGCTAGAAAGTTTTTCAAATATCCTGTAACAAAGAAGTCTTTTGCTGTACGCTGGCTGTACATGACTTTTGCCATCTTCCTATTGTCTCAACCATGTAATGAGGCTGACGCCACAATAAAAGCTCAAAGAACATATCCCAGCAGTCCTGTCCTGTTTGTGTCCCCAACACTCTTTTCCATGTCAGTTTTATCTCAACTTTAATATTACCATAATTTTAATACAGTAACTAGTGAGTATGAAATATTACTTACATATATTTCTGTATCAAACTAAGATAAATTAAAATACTGGCTGATACTAGCAGGTCAGAGTTTTAATCATGTTTTTCTAAAACAAAACCTTAAATTATTGGATCCTTTAGTAATCAGCAAATCTGTGGATGAAGTACTCATCTGGCAAAGCCCAACTGTCATCTCCAACTCTGGGCAAGGCACCTCAAATTCCTTTGCCTCAGCACATATGCATGCAAAACCAGCTGTGTAACCCCAGTTATAGTTATTTGCTGCTGTTACTTGGCATTTCTCTCAAAGCTTTCATGCAACAAAATGGCAGTTTCTTCACGTGTACCGAATGATCCCTATAACATTTAAAGGATCGATGTCATGGTTTGAGGCTGGCACAATGCCAGTGCCCCCATGAAAATATACTTTCCTTAGTGGCTTCTGTGAGATGTGATTAGGAACAGAGCAAAGCAGGCTCCAACTTAGGAATAAGGGAAACAAGTTTTATTAATTATAACATCTAAAAAGGAACAGACACAGAATTAAGAATGAAAACCCTCCAAATACATTCCTGCTCCTCCCCCCACCATTTCCTCCACAGCATGAAATAACACCATAGATTTCCACCCCGTCACCATCTAAACTGGTGATTGAGGCGCTTCCAAAGGGGTAAAGAGGATCCCCCCCTCCAGGCGTGCGGAGAAAATAGTTGTGTGAGTGGCACACACCCCAAAAGCCCTGGTACAGGTCCTAACGAAGGAAGTTAGGCCATTTAGGAAATCAGGCAGTTTTGTTTGTTTCAAGCACCTCAAATAGCGCATCCACCTCTTCCCCCGCCTGCCGTGGGGGCCATTCCCTCACCACCCCCTTTGACTCCTTTGGCTGCTTCTGCACCACCACTAATACCTACTACACCTGCTGAATGCTCCACCCCTTCTCTAGCTCCACCTAACATACACTCAATCTTTTCTCCCCCTCCTACTGCTGTCCCTCCACCTCCTTCTAGCTGGGACACAAATGCTTCCTTACCTAGTCACCTCTTATCACCAGGTACAGCCATTGACCTACAGCAGGCTCAAGCTAAGGCTAATACCCCTCAAATGAGTAGTTCTGTGTCTGAAGATGGGCCATACTGTGGCACCCGATCCAGGACCTCCAAAATAGACAGACTTTTTCCCCTTAGAGAAGTTCCTGTGGGGGGAGTAGTGGGAGGTGTGGGTTTTGTGAATGCTCCTTTAACTGCTTCTGAGGTGAGAGGATTCAAGAAGGAGTTAAGCAATTTAGTTGAAGACCCTGTGGGCATTGCTAACCAAGTCGATCAGTTCTTAGGCCCAAATATCTACACTTGGGGGGAGATGAATTCTATTCTAAACATATTATTTTCCCCAGAAGAGTTCTGAATGATTAGAGCCGCTAGCATAAGAATTTGGGAAAAGGATAACCATCCAGGACCCCAAGTGCCATCAGGTGAAGATAAATTGCCACTAGTGGATCCCAATTGGAACCCTAACCAGGAGGGAGGGAGGAAAGCCATGATGGAGTACAGGTCTCTGATAATTCAAGGGATAAGAGAATCAATTCCCAAAGGAACTAATACAAAATTGGCATTTGAGGGTGCACAAGAGAAAGATGAAATTCCTGCTACTTGGCTCAATCGCTTAAAGCGGAACTTTCAATTGTATTCTAGAATAGACCCAGACACCAAAGAGGGTGAAGTGCTATTGAAGGTCCAGTTTGTTACTAAATCTTGGCCTGATATACGGAGAAAACTGGAAAAGATTGAAGATTGGCAAGAAAAGGACATTAATGAGTTATTGAGGGAAGCATTGAAAGTGTATTTGAGGAGGTGTGGGAT